GAAAATTTGCCCCTGTGCATTTATTGCTACATCACTAGTACTGTCAGAGCACAACTTTCTGTACATTGACGTTATACTTGCAACAACAAGTATGCAATGCTAACGAAGCCTCTGAATAGTAACAAACACAAATTTCTACCTTTGGTCCTAATCCTGAAGACATTTCTAAAATTTACCTTCTCCTCAAATCTCTCACTGGCCTGGTGCCTAAAAGATTTCATCTCTGAGACACTTCTGACATATTTCTTCCAGATATACTGCACTCAGAAAAAGCACTATCAGCTTAGCCTTTGCTTACTCTCCCAATACAAACAGAGCTTATGACAGAGTTTCATTAGATTGATTCACCCTTCAGTTTACAACTCAAGCAAGAATTTAAGGTCCATCTATAATCACAGAGAGGTGAAGAAAGAGAGGCAGGGAAGGAGCCATAGCACAGAAGGATATGAGAAAGCTAAATTAACAATGCCCATCCTACAGTGTTCCAAGACAGGGTCACTGGAAAGACAACCGCACCACTTTGGCTTTAAAACGATGACAGTAGTAACAACCACTGCTTCCCATACTCCTCACGTCTCATACTCTTCTCTCTGTAATGCACTACCTGTGGAATCACCTTCCTTTTGCATTCCCCCAAGCTATGATGAACTTACACCTCTGCCATGAAGTCCTTGCTGAGTATTCCTTATAAAAACATAAGGCTGATGACCAAAGGAAATACGATCACTGCTCTTAAAAAAAAAAAAAAAGAAGAAAAATTCTGCCAATCATTGAGCGATTTCTCTCACGAGGTCGCAATACCCCATCAGCTCACGCTTAGCCCCTGGGCAGCCCTTCCAAAGTTGAGTTACAAACCCACAAATGCCCTCGCAGAACTGGAACCTTGGACTAAACGGTATCTGGGCCACGGAGATTAGTTTGTTTTTTCCTTTTTGCATCTTGTTTAAAACAACACAGTAATGGCGTTTAATAAATTAATAATAAGCAACAGTGGCATGTAAACATTTCCTTTTAAATTAGGCTCAAAAGGAGGAGGTCAACAGCAGCCCACCAAGTCCGCGTATGTTGCATTCCTTTAACAATCTATTTCTTCCCACTGGCAAGAAGGAAGGAAGCAGAATTCAAAGTGAACATAATTTTGCGTGACTGATTTAGCTTATATGAATACAAGTGACAACTGCCCTGGTTTTCACTCCCATGGAACACACGGGAGCGTCACAGCAGAGATGTACTTGTATGCGAACAGGTGGGCTGGTTTGTCAAGCGCTGGGGTATGGTTAGACACTGAGAAGCGAAAGCGTAAAAAGTAACCTCACAGGGTCTGTGTCAATCGTCTCTCAAAGGGCTTCACATCAACTGTGCTCAGTTAACACAGAGAAGATGTTCACTTGTTTGGTTGGTTGTTGTTTGTTTTGTAGCTGCCAGCCTGAGAAACGGAAGATGAATAACCTTCCAGTAGAAAGAAGGGAACATTTTTGTAGCAATGCTGCTTCTCCCCATATTCCTTCACAGTGTGCTATATACAGGTATTTTGTGTGTGATACATATGAAATACATAATATTATAGCTAGGTTTACGAAATTGCTTTTTATGGCTCCCAGATCTTCAGCAAATGTACAAATAAATACGAAAGAAAGAGGGAATAAGATGCACATGCACAAAGCAAAGCAAATACCAAAATGAGATAGAAGCAGCCTGCTAACTAGATGGTGAGAGCCAAAATCATAAGCATCCAGTTATTTTAGAAACCCTTGCCAACAGACTAAATAGAATACCATAGGCCAGGTGTCAGTGATTATAATCCCACTGATGCCAAGAGAGTTGCTCCCATTTACAGCAAGCCTGACTTTGGCTCTCTCTGTAGTACAAGAAATAATTCATAGAGCACGGACTTGAAAAAGCAGCCATACAAACCATGCCTGCCACCCCCCTACTTGCAGCGTAAGGACCCAACACAGCGCAGCGCTCGTACGCCTGTGTTCATTTCTTATAGCCTAGAAATCTCACTGAACTTAAAACAACAACAAATGCCACCCCTGCTCACGTGCGTAGCTGCTTGGAAAAAGAGCCTGCATAAATACCTAAGCATGTTATTTCAAGGCCAGTTCTGCCATGGAAAACAAGTGGCTTATGGATGAGCAGGATACTTCTAAAAACAAAATCATCACTGTGAATGTAATAGGCATGCTCACACGACCTTAGGCCATACTCAGAAACCATTCATTATCACCCAACTACCAGCAACAGAGTATGCTCAGGCATCTTTCCCAGGTTAAAAGGGAACTAAGCCATTATTTCTTTCCTGAAAGACACACGATTTTTTGGACACCTTAGCTGCTTACAGGCATGTGTGGGGGTAGACATATGAAAGCAGACAATCATTTGAAAAATATTACTAAAAAAAGTGAAATCAATAAACTCGTAAGCAATGAATTCTGAAAGCCCGCCTGCCTTCATTTTGATAACCAGACGGTCTTCTCCCCTCTAAGTGGTCCGTTTTTTTGGAGAAACCTCAGGCTGAGCACAGTGATTGCACAAGTCAGGCTGACAGGAGGATGGGCCTGAGCTATGTCTCACTCATACAAAATAATAGTTTTCCCACAAGTATGTACATCTGGGTAAATTAGTAAGTAATGCGATGTTCCATTTTCTTTTTTTTCCCCAAACATAAAACCTTTCCACTGCTGAAGACACTACAAGGATTTTTTTTTTTCTTACCATTTTTAAGTACTGTACAGTGCATATCTATCCTTTTCCAAGTGGAACCTTGTAGCTATGGAGACGAAGAATGTTAAATCCAAGCTGAAGACAGTATTTCAGCGGGGGCTTATGGTTGCTACATGTGCCTTCAGTGATCTGCTGTTCTCTGTCTCCTGAAGTCTTCTGTACTGATAGCCAATGCATACTAAACCACCACCGAGTGTACTTTCTACAAGTCACAGCCTATCATGTTCAGTACAGTCTTACTAATTTACAGCATGACCAAGAATCCCGCAGACAACACGACAAACAGCTCAAGTTCTGTGAAGTTGTGCACCAGCTTAAGTTAACCTGAATTCCACTAAGAGTAGTGGAATAAAATGGTTCTGGTACTGCAATAGCACCTGCAAACCAGGCAAACTGGGGTCAACTTGTGTTTAATGCTGTGTCTAACAATCGACATCAACGCGAAGATATTATGCCACATTGACCTTCTGTTACTAGACCTGGTAGGACTCTTCAACTTTTTATTTATCTGCCATAATCCAAATTTCAGTCTCCCAAACGACATCACATATTCCTTATCTTCAGTGCACTACGATCGATCATGATCCACATTCCGTTACAGATTATTGGTTTCGTTACAGGGACTTTCAGTTATGGCATGCAGATTCAGCTGTCTTCCATATCATCTTGGTGTAAATTAAACAGCATTTTCTTCAGGCTAATGAAACTTCAATGGTGTTAAACTTGAGTATGAAGAGAAGACAGCCTTTCAGGTCAAGTTAATGCTCCTTGTGACAGCCAGTGAAAATTCAAAATAACTAACTTTGTTAGCATCACTTACTTTATACTTGTGCTGCTAACAGGAAAAAAAAACCCGCACCTTCATTCACATGATACTGGTAGAAATGACAAGGGTATGACAGCTGGTTTTCTTTTTTTGAAGACAACACTGCTCCAGAGAAAGCAATCCCAAAACATACACTTTTTTTTTTTCCTTCCCCTTAGCTCTGTGGTCCAAAATCAGCTAGAGATTTCAGGTGCCAAATATGAAACATCTTAAAGATGCCCTATTGTCAGAAAGTGAAAACGTCCACTTTTAAAAAAATCAGGGTCCTAGAACTGCAGCCTGCTCAACACTGCTCATCTTTAAGACACCTTTCATACTACCTGTCAAAGACATTGGTCAAAATCTACCATAGTCAAACCCAGTTTGCATAAATGGATCTGAATAAATTTCAGCAGGCACATTAAGCACTCTCAAGTAGGATGTCCACAACCAAGGAAGCAAAAGCAACCATGGTCCCCTAATAGGACATCCCGTGCGGGATTAAGTAACAAGTACTGAAATGTAATTGCATAAATCCTCCTTTCCAGGTATAAATAAGCAATGGCATTCACAAGTAAAAACATTTCTTACGTACACATTAATAGAGTCATTGACAATACAGCAATGACAAAATACGGTATTTTCCTGCCAGAGCTGAACAACAGACAAAAGAAGCAGTGAGAGCTTTTCCTATTTGTATTTCCTGTATTGCTGAGTCAAAATCATAACACGGCCTTAAGTGCACGAAACTATTAACTCCAGCAGAGTTGTCTCTCAAGCTAAGCCTTCACTGATCACTAAAATGAAATTAAAAAAAAAAAACAAGAATCCCCCTCTCCCAACCCAGATATTTGCAAATGTACTGTTTGACCTGGGGCCTTTACAAGGCTCGAGTTCAGAAGAGCTAGTAAGGCAGATCGAATGTTCCTGCTTCTCCAGGAAAACAAGTGCATGCCTAACTCCGAGATTGTGCTGCAGTCCTGTTGTCCCCTGGTTTACTTGTGAACCAGACAGAAACTACAAGAAATCTTTGGCGTTATCTTTAAATAGGCCATAAACCCCCCAAGATTTGACATGGGGTCGGGAGTAAAGAGGTTTCCATATTTATTTTTAAAACAGAAAAGGTTCTCAAACTCCTCTGTTTCTACTAATATGTTAAAAATGGGACTCTCTTGTAGCCACTGCTTATAAAATGGGTGCAAGTAGGAAAAGAATAACACTCCAGACGCCTTTATCATAGTTGTTTACTTCAACTTAATCTATTTTTTTTTAGAAGTCTGAATTATTCAAAATAATCACCATCGCTTCCCTGACTGCTGTTATTTAATGAGATAACCTTTCATACTGAGCAAACCCAAAAGCAAAAAAAAAATCTCATTAATCTTTCTAGTGTTTAGAGACACCTCAAGAGCTTCAAACATTTACCTCTCCTTCCCAGCAGCTGAAATGGTTTTAGGAGGATCATGGTTCATACCTCACATTCCCTGGAGCCAGAGATGGTATACGTGCAGGGCCCAGATCCATTAACCGATACATCCATGGTCTCAGAGTTTGTTGGCTTGTAGTCCACGTAATACTCCTGTAAAGGGGAGTTCATTTGCCTTTCAGACTCTCGGGCCTTTTTCCTGCGCCTCTTCATGAGGGAGTGCTGCTGGAGCTGTTTCATGCTGGCTGGATAGCGCTTCCATGACACGTAGATTACCAACAAAATCATGGCCACGGAAAGAAAGAGGGCCACGCTCCCAGCGATTATTTTGTGAAAGGAAACGTGCTCGTACTCTGGTTCCACTCCCGGTGTTGGGAGGTCTGCCGAAGGGCTTGGCGTATCGGATGTTGGCTGATTGCTTTCAAGTTTGGAAATGGTAGGTTTAGGAATGAAGACAGGTCTCTGGGGGGTTTTGGGTGCCTGGTATGATCTTTCAGTAACTACCACCTGGATTTCAGCACAGATATTATATGTTTCCACAGCATCGCTCACTTTTTCACCCTGGATATGTTTAGGGCCTGCACATATCATAGTGCTTTCTTTATTTCCCTTGAAATTCTTAAGCCAAGTAAACAGAGGGCAAATGCTTCGAGTACATTCCCACATATTTCCGGACAGAGTGATGGAGATGAGCGAGATCCATGTATTGATGGTCTCCTGAGAGATGTTGGTGAGTTTGTTGGAATCCAGGTTCAGCTTTTGCAGGTTGGGAAGGCACTGGAAGGTCCCAGGCTCTATCCCTGTAATGTCATTTCCTGATAAATCCAAGTTGTGCAAGGAACTCCAAGTCCACGTTAACCCTTGGCTAATAGACCGGATCCTATTCCACTGCAAATAAATCGAGCGAAGGTTGAAGAGGCGTGGAAAGTGGGCAAAATTGATCTTAGAAAACTGGTTGTGCTCCAAGTGGAGCTCCGTCAACTTCAAAAGGCCAGCGAAAGCATTACGGGATAAGCTCCGCAGGCGGTTGTAGCCCAAATCCAGAAAGTCAAGGTTTCGGCAGTCTTGGAAAACTCGGATCGGCACAGTTTTCAGTGAGTTAGACCGCAAATGCAAGATCAAGAGTTTACGAAGGCCCTTGAACTGCTCGGACTGCAACACCTGCAACTTGTTGTAAGAGAGGTCCAGATTGCGGAGGTTGGGGACTGGGTGAAATGTTTTGTTGTGCAGATGGGTAATTTTGTTGGAGCTTAGAATTAATTCCTTCAGCCTGCGGATCCCCTGAAATGCATCCTCATCCACGGAGCTGATGTAATTATGGTCAAGATAAAGCCATATGAGCTGATTCAGGCCCGCAAACTGATTTGATTTCAGCTTCTGAATGCTGTTGTACCGTAATGATAAGCCTTGAGACCCTCCAGAAATATTCTGAGGGATGTCTCTGAATGCGTGAGATTCACAGTACACAATCTTGCCATCGCATCTGCAGTTCTTGGGGCAAGCTCGCTGAGCCCCCGCAACCATAACAAACAGCACCATAGGAAGTAGCACTAACACCACACTCATGCCTCTCAGCTGCTTAATTAAATGGAAACCTACAATATTAAAAAGAAAACAAATGTGCATTGTAAAGCTATTAAAATAAATCGCCAACAGATTACTAACGTCAATGGGGTTTCTAATAAAGCATTAGCGAAGCAGTGGATTTTGAAGACAACCTGTTTGCCTCCTGTCTTGCACTTTTTGTTGTGTAAATGTCTGTCTTTTGAGTTTCTGGCTTGCCATCTCTCCTACCCGCACCACCACCAGTACTACTCTTGTTATTCAATTACTTTTGTGTGATTTATGATCCCTTAGAAGGACCAAGAGCCTGTTCTCTATTCGCTTTGCTCCTGTACATCATCTCTCAATGTAGCTGGTATATCCTTATCGTTAGATGCTGAGGTTTTAACAATAAACATATTTGTCAAGTCACTGTGCTGAATGCTCCATAGTGCTGGAAAGGAAATGAGCCAAAGCTTCTGGTATTTATGTGCTGCTAAACATGTTCTTTAATAAAAGCAATTGCAAGTCCAATTCCTCCAAAAATTACTGCAAAAAGTGAGAAATCTACTTAACAAAGTTTGATCCATCTTTAAAATGTGTATTTATTGTAAAATTAAACAGTAAGTAAAGGCTTTACTTTTTGCACTGAGTGATTTGTTTTTAAGAGTAGGTTTACTCATTATTTTTCTGTACCTAATATATAAATAGATGCACAGAAACAAAGTACAACCATATAGAGAAGTATACCATATAACGCTAGTATGGGACCTCAATACCAAGATAATGGTAGAAGACACATTTGAAAATGAATCAGTCTTGACACATATTAATCTAAAGTGATCTTCATGTAGCTGTGAATACCTAAGCATTTATTATTTTGTATATACATTATATGATCTATGAAAATATACACACAAATACTTACATATAAACACTGCCTTAGGAGCAGCAAAACACGGAAAGTTTAAAGGGGTATATTTCTATTTCAACTCCCCTCTCTCTTCCACAGCAATACTGATTTGAAGATTTTGCATGTGAGATGTCATATTTATCATATAGTAGCAATGCTGTTACATGAAAACAGTCACATTTTCCACATTCTTTGACTAATCATGAAAGGGGGTGGAGGGGTTGTCAGAAAATCCAACATACATACGCACGCTTTCCTTAGCCTGTAATAAATTTAGGACTGGTGCCTCTGTCCAGAGTTGAAATTTTGCTAAGAATTAAAATGCATTCTTCCAACAGGGAATATTTTAAGGGCTGGTATCTCCTTGATAAATAATTACTTTATTATTTGTCAAATGCACAAAACCAACTCTGCGTTGCAGTTATTTAATCCAATCTTAAACCAAGGGGCAATCTGCAAAATAATTCCTAATCTAAAATGCCCGTGACTACGTGTCTCTGCCTTTCACTTTAATGGCTAGATTTTTAATTTAAATCCTCATCTTTTGCTACTGCCTATGTGCCAGCAGCAGCCAGCTAGAAATATGTTCTGGCTGTTACAGACTTGGGGGTTGGGGGGAAGGAGGGAGGGAAATAAACCTGTCACACTTGAAAAAATAAGACTGGCAAACGACTGCTGGAAATCTAGCAGCAATATTAGAGGTATCTTTTCAAAGACCAAACAAGGCTTTTCAAAACCACCTATACAACAAAATCACCCCCTCCCCTTTGCTTCCCACATACTGCAAAGTGTTAACAGTCCTTTCTGACAGCCTGAATAATACCACTACAGGCTCATCGAATATGAATATAAACCCAGAAGAAATCTTGTGTGAGCGTGCCTCACGCATACATGTACTTATCTATATGTGTGCAGGTGTGTGGGTGGGTTGTACAGACAGCGAAGGTACTCTCTACAGTCCTTAACTCGGTGCATGCGTTTGCAGATTAATTACATATATAACCACTGCAGGAGGAAAGGTGTGTATGTGCGTGTGGGGGGGAATACATGATCTAAAAATACAATAGCAAGTACAGTGAGTCACCTGGCAAAGGAATGCACTGCTGCTGTTCAGACTGTTTCCCCCCTTGAACAGCTAATAATCCAACTGAAAAATATACCATACAGCTGCAGCTGTGCTAACAAACAAACAAGAAAAGTTCACTTACCCATCCTTTTGTCATCAACAAACGTCCTCCTTTTCTTTTCTCCAGCTGTTTTCTTCTCTCTCTTTCCTTTTTTGCTTTCCCTTTGCCTCTCTCTTGCTCTCTTTTAAAAACTGGTCTCTTTTCTTTAAACCATCAGAATCTTCATGTCACAGCACGGTTGCCACTCACATCACCGCCATCCAGCGTGCATGCCAGTAACCCACACAAAGTTCCCTAGAGAGGACAAGCAAGAATTTTGGGGATGAGGAAGGGAAAGGATAGGGAAGGGGTTGGGGGTGGGGAAGACAGGACGAAGGATGGGGGGGAGCCTGTCGGGGGGTAGGGAGGGACTCTAAGCTCTGAGAGCCATTGTGTAAGTCATCAGAGAACCATCAGCATTAAGTGGCAATCAAAAGTAAAAGCTATAGCAGACCACGAAGGTAAACCAACTTCTCTGGGAGAAATAAAAAAATCTTTCCCGGTACCTAGCATTTCTCATTCTGCTGCCTTTTGCCATTCCCAGACACAGCAATCCATCCTCCAGCTTCCCAGTTCCTGAAGCAGGCAGGCCTCCTCTGCTGTGTAAGACCCCAGTTTAAAAGCTATGCAGGATAGGTTTATCCATTTAGCTGGTCAGGTTTAAAGTGTTTTGTAGCTGTGCTGAGAGGCAGCTCTTGTCTAATTCAGAAGCCTTTCCAGAGAGTGATGATGCTTTAGAGCTTGTTGGTGCTAATGTTCTAGTTTGTGATACACTGAGTGCCCTCCACTGGAGAAAACAGATCACACATTAAAGGCATGAACAAGCAATCCTGTCATTGCTATGCAGACTTTCTTCCTTCAGAAAAGAAAATTAAAGACACAGTATTGCCTTGCCCACCATCATCCCTCCCCGGACCCCTTTGCCTTCCCTAGATTATTAAATGTTTGTATTGTGGATTTTCTGGCAGCCAGTGTAAAACACTAAATAAAACACCTGTTCCCTGGGCATTTGGCAACCTGATCTTTTTCTAATCCACCTGACCTGTATATTTTTCTTGGACAAATTCTAAACTGTTTTTATTTTCCTGTATTCACAGGGTGAGAACAGCAAAAGGAATGTTTGTCGATTCAAAGTGAAAGTCGTGTTAAAGGGGGGGGGAGGGGGGGAGCAGGAAACGTACAAACTAATCATCCAAGCAAAAGGCATTTCATTGCATGCAACAAAGCCAAATGTAAACATACTGAAAACAGCTTGTTTCTTCTTTTTTAATCTAAGCGCTTTTTAGTCAAAAAAATACCGAGTTTGATAAACAATGCAGAACTGAAGCTGCAGAATTTTTTCTTCTAAACTCCTCTCCTCCCCCCGCTCTGCCCCATTCAGAAGCAGGGACTTCTCGCCGCCAAGAGTGCTGGTCTGGATTTCAGCAGACTTCAGCCACAGCCCTTGCGGTGTGATCTGGGGTATGACACTTCCACAGCGTTTCACCTCCTGCTATTTGTCTGGCTAGCTTACTAGGGCTTGAATTAATTCTCACCCAGTTCAACAGAAAGATGTCAACAGGATTTGGAGCAAGTGCAGTACCACGCAGAGCTCCTTTGAGTTAGTTCTGGTTAGCCCTATTAACCAGAAGCAGCAGAGAATATAAGCCTCAGTGGAGCCCCACACAAACACAAATGTACCATTTTTGGTTTCAAAGCAAACTCAGGCTTCTCAGAGGGCAGCACTGTATGGTACCTTAACATTTTTAACCTGGTTTCCTAAAGCTTATGTATTTGTACTGTCTGTCCAGCTGCTCCCTCCTCTCCCTGTGCTACATAGACATCGGGTATTTTGAAAACAATTCCCTGCCCAAATCTTGTGTTTAGATGCCAAAATAGTGGAAGTACTTTTTATAACATCTGTCATGAGCTAACCATTATGTGTTACTTATTTTTTAAAATATTTTTAAAATATTTCCCCTTATGACTAAAGAGACTTTGCTTAGCATTTTACAGTCTGCATCTCTTGACGTTTCTGCGTACTACTACTCTATAACAAAAATGAAAACTGCATGAAACTCAAGACCAGATTCTGAGCTCTTTTATTTTAGTTCCTTACTCCTGGCCCAGATAAAAAGACCACTGCTTGCCCCCGCAATCCATTCCAAGTGAAGTCACCCCTGCCCAGTCCCAGTACCTCATCCCCTCCAGGATACCCATCGGAGCAAAAGGGTTGGGGCACAGAATGGGCAAAGTAGTTCAACTCCATTTAAAAAAAAAAAAAAAAAATCCACAAACCAATCCATAGAAGAAAACTACTTTTCATCCCTTGTATCTGCATCCAGACTGCAACATCGCAAAGCTTCTGAATAAAAAACCTTGTTTTGTTTGTCCTGTTATGAGAATTCATTGCTACCTATAGAGCAGAGATCGATGTCTGTAAGAAAAATATCATAATTAATCACTACTTTTTACTCTGAATTGGCCAGCAATACACACCTGCCTCAAACAAGATTCAGAACTTAATTATCATAAATGATGTTGAAAGTACTTTTTTCCATACTTCTATTAACTACATCTGCATTACAGTCAGTATCATTTTAGCTAACATTCATATTTATTCATGATATAATTTCCTAATAAAGGTAAAAGCTAAAGTGTGCAGTTATTAGACCTTGTATTGATAATTCTCCAGGAAGAGTCCATTTGAAACTCTGCCAGATCGGAGAGTGAACTGAGGAGAGATGTCTAAAGAAACTGTACCAATTTTCAGGGGATATCTTTTCCTGGATCCTTTGATCCTACGAGAGCTGAAGCAGCATTGTCATAAGCTGTCCTACTGCCATATACTTATTGAGAGTAAAAAACCCCCACATTCCTACAAGAAGTTTTAAATAATTTTGTTTTCATAAAAATCCTGTGATACTGTAATGGAAAATTTCTCAAATTCCAAACCAGAAAACTTCAGTACCTGAGCTAAAACCAAGTGAGTTTT